GGGGGGGGGGGGGGGGGGTCGCAGGGAGAGAGGGAGAGAGAGGGGAGGGAAAAAAATCTAACATCCCTTAACCAACAGCTGCCCCGGCGCTCTGATGGAATTTATGGAGTTCGCCCTGGCAATATTGGTTTTTGCTTGCGCGAAATGGGCTTGCGAAATAGAAGTGGCCCGATAAAGCCGGCAGGGTGTCATGACTGATCGCATTGTCGGACTTCGTATCTAACAGACATAACGTTCAAGGGGCAAGATAAGGGACGAAGGATACAAAATATTCGACTTTGGGGCTGATTACGTATCGTCTTTCTAGGAGCGTGTGACGTCATGTTGTGGATAAATAGGGGATGCTTAGTGATTTCTTTTTTTTTTATTCTGATACAAAATTACCTATAACGTAGATCAGAACGGATCTTGTGATTAATTGTAATTTGTTTTTACACCCTTAAAATTTCATCCCTCCAATTAATCGATACTATTGTCAATGACGCTTACGCGAGGGTTAGTCGAAATTATGCATTTCTTTTTTCTCATCGATATCTTTCGCCTGATCGGGTGATCGGTCCGTATTATGTTGACTTTTGTGCAGCTGCGGGGGCGAAGGGAAAGGGTTGATCTGTGAAAATTTATGCGTATAATGAGTTAAAGGGGGAAGTGGCAGTAATCGATAAAGGAAGTTTACTGGGACTGAATTCGGTCACGTGTCCCGGACACGTAGCCTTTCGCAAATGGGGCTTACGTGGAGGAAGCTCATTTTGAAAATTTCAATTGACTTGTCAGAGCTGCCGACATTTTCGAAATTTAAAGGTCCCGGCAGCTGATCCGCCTTTGTTACCTTTCCCTATTTATTTTCTCTTGTTGTTTCACGCTTTTAAAGACACGTGCTCTTACTGGAATGCCTGTACATACGTATGTTACATATGTATAGTATAGTATATATATATATATATATATAGTATGATGCATAAAAATCAATTGATTCTCAAGCTCGACTGTTACTAAATCTGACAGCTGTCACGCTGTCAAACAGACATAACACCATTGAGAGATATTCCATATTGCAAAAGAACACATTTTCTTTGACGTCACTCAAAAGATGGTAAACAGAAATAAATATTAAAAAAAAAAGTTTTATCAATTAACACAAATAAATATATAATTAAAATCGTGCACGTATGTCGATCCGTTAAGAAGAAGCCTGCAATAACGTATTCGTGGGATAAGCAATTATCGAAAGGGGTCTACCTTAGAATTTGTCTAATCGGTATGTCCGTCCTTGTCTTGCGCGCGTAATCCTCGATAGCTCCGTCTCTCTCGCACTCGCGGGAGCTATAGGAAACTCGAGAATTTAAAGAACTTTATCACTCGCCCGCTACTACGACTACGTTGGCGACTTGCCAACGGTTACCGCAGTACATTGTCCAACCGTTGCCTATGGAATTTTATCAATCGGTGCTTGACCAACGTCACGCAATTGACAGCTGTCAAGAATGACTGGGCGCCGGTTTCTACTGTACGTCGATTCGTGATACTTGACCATGGTAAAAACATTTCAACGGAAACATCTCTCCTGGCAGGATTTACCGATTGGCCGTTGAATTTCAGGACGGAGTTTCGATATCGCTTTTCCACCCTTGGCCAAGGGTGTGCGATTTTTGTCAGAGGGACGAATATACCTAGAAAAAGAAAGTGTAAACAGAATATAAGGGAAGCGAAGTTTAGAGCTCAGTCGGCCGTCTGCTTTTAGCCCCCCGGGGGGGGGGGGGTCCATCTCGGAGGGTTCAAAACGAAATACGAGCGTTCCCATAAGGCAAGACTCTCATGGTTTTAGCCCCCCGGGGGGGGGGGGGGTCCATCTCGGAGGGTTCAAAACGAAATACGAGCGTTCCCATAAGGCAAGACTCTCATGGCGAACCCTCCTGGTAATACCGGGCGCAGTAGCGCCACCCTTTCTTAAGGGATGAACGACACCAGCTGTCTTCCGATCGATAAGGGCGGATGACCATTCCTAATATTCCGATATCCATCATCCCCCTGGCACTTCAGCGCTCAACTTATTGCAATATTTTTACAAGGGCTTCAAAACCCACCCCCGTGATGTCGAGCCGGTAGACACGTTTCTTCAGTTTTGAATGAAGCTGTACGCTCGGGCATCTATTATTCTTTTAGGCGCATACTTTTGTATATCTCTTTCATCCCCTATTTCTCGCTATCGAGTCATCGATAACAGATGCCAATCTGCCCGTAAAGAAAATTCTCAGCCTCGTGTCGATCTGTTCGCCTGACGTGGCTACGTTTCATTTGAAATCCCAAAGGTTCGGGGTGGCACGTCGGATGGCGCTGGGGTTTCATTCCGCGCGAATCTCTTCCCGCTGGCAGATCGCGAGGAACTCGGAAGGAAGATGAAAGACATCTAAGGGTGGAACCTCGACTTGAGTTGGGTGTCAAACCTCCTTAGAAGTTATTTCCTGTAAATCGGCTCGATAAAGAAAAATTCATCGAATTCAATTCAGTCGACGATGCTTATCGGGAAATACGTCGATGTAGTGATAAGGACGGCGGAAAGTAATAACAACAACGAGCTGGCTGGTTCGGAGCTCAGAGGACTTTTGGCTCTCGGTGCCTGCGGGAATTCGACTGGTACAGTCCGACTCAACAATATTGTACGTATCCATACTGCGGTATATCGATAGTTAATGATATTTTATTGATAAGGTAGAAAGTTTAATCAATGAAAAAAAATCATTTGGGAATTTTGCAAAAAAACAATCTTGAAAGAATCCCTCATTTGACGCGTGTATACTTCTATTATAGATGAGATACGCGGCTTAGCCGGCAAATGACAGCGGATCAATTTACTGGCTTAAAGTTTGATGGCTAAAAGACAAGGGAAAAGAGTTTCATTAGCGTCGCTGTAGCTGCGCTCTATATAGAAACTACCTGCTTGAAATTCATCTCTATAGTAGACACATGAAAGGGACGACAAGCCTTTGGCTTTATTGGATTTCATTAATTTCTGGACCGTAATGGCTTTTTGAGGATCAGCCAAAGAATAAGTGGCGAGTAAATCCTATTGGGTATCTTTAGGTAATGTTTTTTTTAAATATAATATAATAATGTAGATTAAGTCAAAGTTAAATGTAAAACGCTGATAAGGTTAAGTAATTCGGAGATAGAAGAAATCTGTTGGATAACAGAATTTTAATCGTATACGAAAATTTGTAGGTTCTTTTTATTTTAAAAAAATGCCCTCCGACCCCATCGGTAAAAAGTGCTCGAAAGTTTTCACGGACCCAACTATTGGCTGGCATATCGGAAGAATAGGAATTTTGATTTCCCTTGGTTTGGATCAAGACCTTTTTTTTATTCTGCATGATCCCTTAACGTTATTCAACCTTACAATTTTTTTTTTCGTTTCATCCCTTTTTTTTACCTGCCCACGTATATCATTGTCCGTCGGCCTTGGTGGGCGAATGTCTTTCTGCCGTTTCAACATAGAAATCCACGATGGATACTTTAACATGCATTATTCAGGTATAGGGAATTTCTTTTTATGCAATGTCGCATATTTCATCGAAACGTTGCTACGTTCTTGATAAAAGTACGTCGGTACGTGGTGGGGTAGGAATCGATATTAGGATATACCCTACGGATGTAAATCGTTATTAAATGAACTTGGCAAATGAGGGAAATTCGAAATGTCATAGGGAGGTATATGAGCAGTAAGTTCGTAATACGTGGTATATTGGTAGATAAGGAAACAAAAATTACTGTAGCAATATATATATAGATATATACTCGTCTTTTTATTTACAATTTTATTATTCGTTAGGATCTTTCGTCCCTTTGATACAGACGTTATACAAAATCCAGGGTGAGTGGGCATCCGGCCATTAATCATAATAATAATGGTGTCTTGTTCCGGGAATTTGGAAATTCTCAAAAAATCCATACAGTAGCAAGTTAAAGAAAAAGAATAATTTAATGAAAATAGTAAAATCTAAAAAATACTTGATGCTAATGGAGAGTCGGAGGCATGCAGTAAATTCCATTGAAATTGGTCTCGTACGGTATGCAGATACGCAGACTGGTGCAATGGGAAACAGGATGCACCGAATGCACCGAATGCACCGGTCAATGCATATGACCGTACGATTAATTCGTCAGCGAGTGCATTAATTCGTCGCAGGCAACGAGCCGTTACGTTTGCTTAAACAAAACGATAATGAAAACGGGCACATTGAAAATGCCAGGCTCTTCGTTTCGAAGCGCCAGCCACGTGGGAGATTGAAAATTTAAATGGCGTTATCTACGCAAGGCCAGAATCTGATAACTAATTCCGGCATCTTTATTTTTGTTTCAGGATATGTCGGAATACAAGTGCGAGAATGGCAAGCCGCCAATTTACGTGCCGCACAAACCAGTCACAGGAGTAATCGGAGCGTCGTTCAGCGTAGTGTCGATCATGGTTGCCAACATTCTACGATTATTCAAGGTAAATAATAAGAGCATCAAAAGAGCGTAGAAAGACGAAGGGAAAAGAAAAAAAGGTTCCTATGGAATTATACCTCTACCGCCATCTGTCGTTCTTGGCGTTAAATATTTGTTAACGAGTAAAGCACTTGGGGACCTCGCGAAGGAATTGTAAATTTGCCAGCGATAACCGCAGGAGTTTCCACGAGGCGACAGTTGGGCAGTTTATGTGTGGCAACGTCGCCACTTTCTCAAAGGTCCAGCCAACCTGCCAGCCACGTGGCTTAAGGGAGACAGAAGATTGGACACGTGTTCAATCTCAGAATTATCTTATCGATTTTGTCAAGTCTGGACCTCGTATTATCTGCATCTTAAATCTTCAATCTTCAATCTTCAATCTTATGGACCTCAACAGTGACCTTTATCGCTCATTCAAAAATTAAGGTCAGTCGTCCCAATCCCATTCACTTTCCTCTCTTGTACACTGTCTATACGAATCCTGTTTCTTTGTGCGAACTGCCAGTCGGTTCGCCAACTGGATGAGACGAAGCAGCTGCCACTTTTTGTCAGCTGGTCGACGAAACTTAATCAAGTGCGATTAAACGATATGACACTCGAACGTCGCCGAGTGACTCCTACGTGAGAAGAGGACTTAACGTTCCTGGTATCTGGTCTACGTAACAGGGCTGCTTTTTGCTCAGTTGATAATTAGGGTGCCGGCACGCTGGGTATATTGTGTGTACATTAGGTATAGTATATTACGGGGGATGATCCGTCTTCCTTTTCTATGTCTCTCACGTGTAACGCAGAGACAATACCGATGATGATTGATAATGATTGATCAGGGTTGGACTGTCATTAATGAAATTACAGATGGGAATTAATATAATTGTTCTATGGTAAAGTTTTTTTTTTATATTAATTAATATCCGCAAAGAGGATGGACGATTATTGAAAATTGTTAAACGATTAATAATTGCTTCGTCGACGAGGAAAATATAAAATCAATGTGTAGATTGATAATATTGATTTTGATTTTATCGAAAAAATTGATTGGTCGGGTGAATTAATATTTTTCTCCCATAAAAACAAGCCCTGCAACCAAGTTACTTTATCGAACGTCCCTTCGATGTTCCCTTCGCAGGTGACGTATTTCCAAAATGTATATCCTACTACTGCAGCCTCACCCAGGACAGCCACCCTTAATCCGACCCTTGATGATTCTTCATCTCGGAGACAAAACCCCCTGGGGTCCAGTCGTTTTGCGGGCTTTACGAGTCGCCCTGATTAAATTAATAGAATTCGAGGCTGCACGCTGCTCGTCCTGCGCGATTGAAGCACAAAAGCTGCAAAGTCCTTCGCCGCCGTACTTATGCCTTATTCCTGTATAAGAGAAAGGAACAAATTCGATTCTCTCTCCTGTCCAAAAGTAAGCCTGAGTCTTGAAGTATTTTTCTTGGGGGGAAGAGGAAAGTCAGAGATAACTACGAGTCAATGGCGCCGGAAACAGCCATAAATAACAAATTTAATTGTATCGCGAAAGCCAAAAACACTGGAATTTATTTTTGGAAATCCTAGAATTCACGTAATTCACAGTAAGACGTAAATTCTCTTATCTCCTTTGAGAATAAAACTTTTCACCACCTTCGCCACCTTCGCTACCTTCACGCATAGGGATTCTGCCTGATGGGATCGAGGTTACTTTTGAAATTTGGCGATTTCGCCGCTGCTTTTATTTAACCTGCTCTTTCTACGTGCTGCTGGTTCGTATCAGTTTTATTGGACTGGACAAAGGCACGCAGACGCCATTCAAAACAGTGCTCCCTCGATTCGGGTAGAGGGGCCGATAAAATATAGGGAATCCAAAAAAAATTTTCAAAAAAAGAAAAAATTCTAATTACATCCCATATCAAAAGTTCGCGAAACTGCCAAACGAGATGAAACAGACGCGTTCCAGCACAGCCGCCATTTTGTTGCTTAACAAAAGCTCCGACTATCTTAAGCTCGCCATCCGAATGCCAAAGAACACAATGGTCTGAGCGTGTCGATCATCTGCGCAGCATCCGAAAGGAGCAGACTGTATCCCAGGGCAGTATCGCGTGTATAAAAATAAGACAATCTATCAAAATCCTCAGTGATTATACCCCTGGCTTGAGTTTCCGTTGCTCCGTTTTAGAAATTTATCCATCTACCTCCCTCGATATATCTGTATACATCTACAAGCATCCAATTTTATACATATATATATATTCCTTGACGTCGAATAAACAGACAGCAGCTTTCAGATCCATCTTAATCCTTTACACGGGTCCTTCGTCCCCCAGCGTGATTTCAAATTCGATACCGACGGCCAGCCCGGAGCTTTAGCATGCGCGAAAGCTCTTCCACGCGAAATACCAATAACTCGTCAATAATTTACGATGGATTAACCCAGGCTTACAATCTCCAATGACGTAACTTCCTTTCATGCCCAATAAAGGTATACATCTTTTTTATCCATCTACGACACAGCCGTTTGTTTATCACTCATTTAACGTATATACCTCCAACAGTGAAATATATCTCTGAGCACAAAAAGCTTCCACACAGGCAAGCATTACACGAGCCACGTGCTTTTCTAGCTTTTGTCAAAATATGCAGGGTTGAAATAAAAGTATCAAAAAATTTCCAGGTTGCATCCCTGCACTACGTATGTCGTTCCGCTCAACCGTGTCACGTATGTGCTTTTATGAATCTCCATATCATTTGCGCATATATATATATATATATATATATATATATATACTTATCTGTAGCCACATACCCATGCTTCGTTGGCTTCGAGATATCGAGCTTTACGAGAAGCAGCCTAATGGGAAAGTTGCTTTTGGTCCACGAGCCTCGGCGTTACGTAACCCGCACATACAGCAACCCCGGTGGGTTGTCTGAAATAACACAATACATCAGAGAGATACGAGTGCACTGTGCTGCTGGTGCTTACTTTTTGGCCATGGAAACTTGGCTTGAGGTAGTAAAAGTGACGTCGTTCGCCGGAACCTAGGAGAATTTGGGGAGGCAGGTCGAAACGGCGAAAACTGTAGTAGTAACGCAGATCCTTACGTTCAGATACGATTGTCCTTTTGGCGGTACCATTATCACCGTTATTATCCTCTTATCGTATCTACCGGTGACTATGTGCCTTTTCACGAAAAGCTTCCTCGCTAACGGTCCGAATCCACCGTAAGCCACTTCTGGTTTAATGAACTTTGACAATTTAGTAAATTGTCATCTTCGCTATCTATAACTTTGCTAATACGGCGGATAGATAAGAAAAACTCATTTTTTTTTTTTTTTTTCTATTTTCCTCTATTCCTCTTTACAGAGTAGGACTGTTATTCGTTAGGCTGATGAGGATCGAGCAATATTTATTTTTTATCTCTGTATATATATTTCCTCCCTTTTTATTGTGACGAAAGATAAAGAAGAAAGCCTTTTGCTGGTACTGGCTGTGTGGATACTTCATTTTTTTTTCTTTGTTTTTTTCTTTCAGATTCCTCAATTGAGCTATGCCTCCACCAGCATCGAACTCTCGGACAAGAGTCGTTACGAGTACTTCAGCAGGGTGGTGCCACCAGATAATTTTCAGGCCCAGGCGATGGTGGAGGTTATACATATCCTGGGATGGAAATACGTATCGACAGTGGCAGTGGAGGGTGACTACGGGGAGAAGGTGAGATTAGTATTGCATAGTATGTGTATGAATTAAATAAATGAAAATTACTCACTTGGGCCTAGGACCATGATTAGGATTGGGCCGGAGGTTGTTCCTTCAGGCATTTCCAAAATGACTTGTGTCTTGAACCTGCGTATTGTCTGGGTCACGTGGTTGGTGCTTGTAGACTGATGAACAGCTGCTAATTAGCGTAATGGCTCGTTACAATGGTCAGATTCCTCCTTGGCAGAGAAGCTTGCAGTTACTGATGCGATGCTACTGCAATTACACGGTTAAGGTTAGGTTAGGTTCTTGTTCTATCCAAGCGCTCGGTAATCGTGGGTGTATGTACTGATGATATGTTGGTAATCTGATACCTTGTTTCAAAATCTATTTACCTACAGGAATACAGACAATAGACGTCTCTTGGTACGTCATGGTCTCGGTACTAGAGTCAGCAGGGCTTGAATATGAATAGTACCATGGAAGAAGTCTAGATGGCGGAGTGGCGCTGGTGTCGCTGTTCTAAAGTGAATTTAGCTTGCATTGTCAATGCGAGGAAAGATCGCGCGTCTCGAATCGAGAGAAACGTTAAGGGTGTTTCGGCGGGGAAGAAGCGTCGGAACGTCGCGCGACGCCGGATTGTATATCCGACGGCGGTGCTTTAATCAGTAGGAGTCGTCTTGGTTTTATTTTCGTTTCTTCTTGTTTCTTTTTCTTTCTTTTTCTCCTTTTTCGTATTCATAATGAAGCATCGACAAGAAATTGCGGGAGAGCGGGATGAAGAGGGAGTAAACGAAGGATGGAGTGACGTAGCGAAGGTAACGCGCATGCGCAGTGGCCACCTCATATTCCCCTAGGCGTATTTAGTATTTTTTTTTTGTATCTTTCATTTGTTCGAGACTGCGTAAACGTCATGGGGATTTTTTTCAATCTCGATATTCCATCGTTTATCCACGAGCCAGGAAAGTTGATGGAGATTATTTAGCGTTTCATCCGGGAATGGTCGTGGGATATTTGGAAGTTTGTATCTCCGTTTGAAAAGCATCGAGTTGGGCTATCTCAGACACGTAGAATCACCTAGCCCTGGGCTAACGGCGATTTTAGTCGCTTGGGGACAATTTCTTGTTCTCGGGATTTGATGAATTTCTTGGCAATGCCATTTTATCGGCGGAATTAATGAATTTGAATTTTTTTTAAGTAATCAACGTTCCTTATTGACAGACCTTTAGGGCATTGTTATTCGCAATCTCTTGGATAACTCGATTAAATTCAAGTTACTCACCCTTGGACAGCCGGATGATGGATCTCAAATGGAGATTTTCATCATAATATTTGTCCTTTTGCAAAAGTGCCTCACTGCCGCTGATTAGGATTCCCTGACAGTTTACTGTTGGGGCAACCTAATTGTATTTCACTGTCAAAGACGAAAAGGAGAGAAAAAAAATTATGAAATTTTTTTTGAGAAATGAAAATTTAAAAAATTGTTTTGTAATTCTATTACAGTCGCTTGAAGGTCGGTCGTCAATAAGGCATCAAATATGTTTATAAACGAGATTCATCTTGACACCAAGGCTAAGGGATGAAATAAATCGTGGGAATTGGCCCATTCGAGCCCTAATTGGAAAAACCGAGAATCCGCGATGGAGAAGGAAAAATACATAATGCGCGGAGGAAACGAGGGCCAAAGTCTAAGGACGGCGGGCCAGGAGGGTATAAATGTTAAGATCTGCCATCTTTAAATAAGAGAACCTTCCCTAACGAGCAAATTACTTAACGAAGCTCAGTCTCCTCGACAATTGCGTGAGTCTGCTCGACCCACTTTCTTTGGACCCCCGTTAGAGAGCACCACCTGCCGAGAAACAGGTAGGGGTCCTTCGTGACATCGTCCCTTATATCATTACAACCACTATCATCATCATCCCCTAACGGTAAGACACGCACCCACTGCTTTAGTTTGCCAATCGCACGGGACCAGATCAGGCACCCTCGCGAATGGACCAAACCCACTGTCGAGGGATGCAAAATTAGAGCAGGGAAATAAAAATTAGCCGGGACCGTTGAAGCTACCAAGACGCGGAGAAATCAGCCCTAATTTATCTCCAGAAGACACGAGACACAGAGGGCAGAGCCTCGAAATTCCATTAGAACGAAATTCTATCAATTAGCCACAAATCCCGAAGGGCTGTCCCAGCCCTGGCCCAAAGGCCAAAGGCCGACGGCCGACGCAGCCCTGGTAACACAGTCCACGCATTCCGTTCCCATTTCGAAGCCCAGAGCTTCTTGCACCCCCTTTTTATTTCATCATGGGCTTCAGATTCTCCCAATCGTACAGACGCATAATGAGTCCAATGTGAAAGGAAGAAATATAAATAAAACAAAAATGCATCCCTTCGTTATTCAATGCGACCCCTCGTTAATCCACGGCTGAATTTATTTTTTCTCACCCTGCGTAGAGAAAATAATTGTTTTTTCTCCCACTGTTCTCAACATCCTGGTCAACCCTGACTCTCTAGTACTCTCTAGTAGTAATTCAATGTCCAGTTATCGCGATTCGCATGAGACCAAAAATTATGACTATATATATATATATATATATACGGTTATATAGCACAGAGATATCTCGCCCTATGACCATTGTCCATTTAGCACCCTGAACGTAGGCGATAACTGGCACCAAGCTGCAATGAATAATTCCCCTATGATAATCATTTATGTACTTATATGGGGACTAGACATTCATAGCGTTTATGCGGTGACTGTACAAGTGTACATAGTATGTCCATTATGTAAATCCTATGCAATACAGCGAAACGACTGTAGCTAACCGAGTTTTGCATTACGGCGCTCGAGGATTCCGATAGGATTGATAAGATTTGTTATCAGCTAACATTTCTGAAGGATATTACATATATATTGTAATATTATTGGGGAGGGGGGGTGGTGGTGGTGAAATATTGGTTATGTTTACTTTGGCCGGATATTAATTGGCAGGAATCCTTCGATCGGCAGCCAATCGAATGTTTGGTTTGCTACTGCGTGCGATTATTTGTCTTTAATTAAAATAATTTATTACTTTGTCGCGTCGAACTTTTTTTTTTATTAATCAACAGAAGCGTCAGTGTCGCGTAGACCGATTTTTGGACAATTTACGAAAATTTTGTAATGCGCGTAATTTTTTATGGGTAAATGTACAGGGATTTACCGTTATCTCAGACGTATTGGAGAACGTGTAAGAAGCTGGTGAAAAATTGAGGGTAAGGAAAAAAGGAAGAAAGAGGTAAAAAGTAAAAGCGGTGTGTATTTCAAGTGGATGATAAAGTTAAGACGGCCGACTGTCTTTCATCGGTTTGGCAGTCGGGCGAAATGAAATTTCGTTTCTCAATCTCAACGGGGAATCCCCGGGATCCCGGAGAAGCGTCTATCTCCGTGGGCGGATGAAAGGAGTCGAAAGGGATGAAAGCGACGAGTACCGTCGGATACGAAGTATACCGAAGCTGGGGATTTTAGGAAAATAATAAAAAAAAAAAAAAAAAAAAAAAAAAAAAAAAAGAGAGAGAGGGAGAAGAGGATAAGTAAAAATAAGGAAAACCAAGAAAAACGTACAGTAAATTATAAAATGGAGTATTGGATTACTCGGTCATAAATTAAATCAATGACAAATCCAATTATTCAGCCCCAATTTGCTGTCTCCGATCATTACACGTGAAATCCGTATGTCAGTCGATACTGTCACTGGTAGTCGAAGGGGACGAAAGATTTTTATAAAATTGTTCTTCGATAACAAGATATTTTCGGATCTTCTTACAAAATTATACGGGCTACCATCCCTTATGTAAAATCGTACAACCCCCAGGGGTGCCTCTACATGTAGGGGCCCCTTCGCCGTAGGGCTTCCACAGTTGTCACTCGATCGGTACCTTATCGCGTTGGATAAATTTTAAGGGTTGCCAAGCGTAACCCTTCTCCATCCCCCAGACGATTATCAAATGCGCCCAAGAGGGTGCCTCCCCCCCTGAATAAATATTTTCAAAAATCACTTTCCCTCGACACCCCAACTTTTTAACGACCTCGTCAAGTAAAAGTAATATCGATCAATCACCGTGGGTTCGTTCGATTTTTTTAAGCCGTCCTTGAATTTTCTATCTAACCTTGAGCTGAAAGGACGCCAGCGTCCCGACGGCAAAGGGATGTAAACCGGAAACGGTAAAAGAAATTTTCGTAAACCTTATACACGCGTTTCCTAACCTTTTCCAGCCTTTAAAGTGCCCCTTAGCATTTTGGCTTGCTTCTTTTATACACTGAGCAACCCTTAAAAACCACCCCTAATTTTTCATCCCATTTACCCGTGCGGTATCATTTGACACTTTTACAAAATGTATATACTTTCGTTAACAGGCCGTCCCTTTGTTAGACTTATTATTTCCCCCCCCCCCCCTTTTTTACTCATCCCTTATAGTGCAGGTTAACGATTATTTCATTTAGATACTTGATATGTAATTTTTTTCAACCCTTGCCTTTTCATCCCCCTTACAAAACTACCTTGTTTCGTTTCACCTATACGTATACATAGCTTCTGCGACGACTTTGACTTCGATACTCAAATTTACTCCTTCTACCGGGTAGCCTCGAGCAACAGGGACTATATGTCAGGAGACACGTCCCTTATACATGTATGAAAATTGAAATCATATTTCACGAAGCAAAGGAGCTGAAAAGTCTATCCCCGTGTAGAGGTTATATATATATATATATATATTTATATATTTTCCACCATAAATTTTCTCGCAGCACTTTTTAAATATTTTTCACAATTTTGTAATAATTTTGAACCTTCCTCAAAAAGTATATATCTATAGTTGTCAGTATCGATACAATCGTCAACATTCCATATACCCTACTTCCTCGTACACCCTTGTTTCACACGTGGCGTAAGAATCAATAAAAAAAAACGCCCTCCTATATTTTTCCCAAATTAAAATAGATCGTCTTAACTCCAATTCCAAGTAATCCCTGTGCGTGTCCCGAATTCAAAGGACCACCCCAAGCCTGAACGAACGAAAGCAGCCGAGGAGCCAAACGAAAGAAAACAAAGTAGGTTGGTGGGAATTTGAAAGTCTAACCATGAGACATCATCCTCTTGAATCGGTTCACAAGACAAGATTAACTGTATGACAAAAAAAGACAATAGGGTGGGATATCTGATAAAAGATTCCTTTCGTGTGCGAGTTAACAGAAAATGTATGACCGTCAGGAGTAATGGCGCTGGATGTAAATTCATTGTAAATAAAATGTGCAAATATAATTCAACACCCAGTAGCTGCTATGTGTAACGTCGGAAGGTAGTAAAGAGGCGCCAGAGTAATTTCCCATGTAAACCGCAGTCAGTACGTATACAGATTCAACAGTGCATACCTAACCAGTGCATATAATAGGTAGCCGTTATTTACCAGTGCCTACCACTGCCTATGGTAATACCGTTATAATTTACGTTATTATCTTGAATAACCTAAACTATGGGTTAATCACGTTACGGGGATAAAAAGCATATTGATATTTGTGGATAAATCTGAAACTGAAAGTATCACGTGATTTACAAATGAAATTCATTATTTTAGTGTAGTCGATCAAATAAGTGATGCGAATTTGAGTAAAGCGTAAATCAGCACAACGTGCCCACAAGCCTTTTGGAAATATGAGAAAATACTGAAATGCTCAGTCAGCCAGTCCGAACAGTGCTGAGGTTTACTGACGTGCGATCAAAGCCCGGGAAATATAATATAAACGTATAATAACCATGCGTGGAGTGTGTTTGATAATTTGAGGGAAAAGGAGAGAAATCAAAATTTCAAAGGAGAAAGGTATTAAAAAAATGACAGGAGTATGTGTATAGCGAATGAGGGTTCGTGACGTAGGTAGGGGAGTAGTGGGAAGTGTGGGCAAGAGGCAAAAGAGTGACGATGAAAAGGAAATAAATAAATATATATATGTATATAAGAATGAGAGAGAAAACTGGTAGAGTGAGAAATTGGGAAACAAAGGGGTCGTTTTGTGCCCCGTGGTAGTTAACTGCGTAATTCAATCTCGTGACGCATTTACCGATGTCGAGCGTCGTTCTCTTTTTTACCTTTATTCGTTTCTCTCTACTCCATCTGATTCCGATTTTGTTTTCCTTTTCAACCTTCAGTACAGTCTACCAGTTCAGCATGTCTAGACGCACGGGATTTGTCCTTGGTCGGTAGGTTTCAATAATTCAGGTCGCATATGGATATGTAATGAGACATGTGGTATACGTGTCTTTGTTGAGAGAGAAAAGTAATTGTGAGAGATATTTTTCTTGGGTGAACCAAGATATACTGGCTGTAACAATAATGACAGGTAAGGTTATGTCGTAAAGACGTAACGATATTTTACGCATCGCCGAGTTTGTATTATTTCGATTAAAAGAAAATAAGTAACTTTTTTAAACTTTGACAATGTCAATAAAAGTCCCGTTTTCCGATACTATCGATGTGAACGACTTTCGATTTTCCAACATGGTGGAGCTTCTCTGCGGATAACAGTGTCGACATCTAGGGAGCGTTCGGAAAGACATTTTCGTGGATCGAATTGAGTTAGCGGACGCGAACCCAAACGATACGTAGTTTGAAAATGGCGTCGGCGAAGTAACGAAACTTTGTCATTCACTGCAGAAGTGTCTATGCTCAGAGAACCGTTGCGTCACTTTACGCCAAAACTCCGAGTTCATCAAGAAAATCCGATACAGTCGACTGCCTGCATAATTACGCACCCAGTCCTCCGAGACGTGACGACTAGAGAAAGTGATATTACGAAGAGTTCCTATGTAGTTCAGTGTAATAACCAAGCGTTCGATAGACAGCGGGTAAGAGCGTGCTGTGAAATACAAAACAGTGTTTGAGAAGTCTTCCTTCCTTCCTTTTCCTTATGGCTGTATCCCCAATGGGGGACATTTGCCAGGAGAAGTCTTCGTCTTTACCTCAGGACGCGATACCTTAGAAAAAGAGTTTAAGGGAAATGCGACTATACAAGACGCCTATATATCCAGTGTCAACTGTAATTCCTGTCTATCGTTTCGTGCGCTGCTCTTCGACAGCCAAGTACCATCCTTGGCGGAGAATTCTTGGAATACTCGAAAGGAGGTGACGGAGATACAAATAATATTTAACGTAAATATAATTTTTATCTAACAACATAGAATCGTTATACATATTATTTACTCTCTGTTTCAGGGAATCGCAAGTTTCATTGCTCTCTCCGCCGAGTACAATATATGCGTGGCGGTCAGCGAAAAAATCTTGCGCAACGCCAGACCAGAAGATTTCGACAGAATCATAGAGCGTCTCAGTACGAAGCACAATGCCAGAGGCGTCGTTCTTTTCGTCGATGAAGACAACATAAGGTAAGCACAGTATACATATACTCTTACTCTTGTCAATATTGTTCCAAGTAATTATGATAACACGGAGCTAAAGTGCTCATACGATTCGTACGTTTACATTGTTAACTGTCGCGTATAATGAAATCAATACTGTTTAAGTCGTTTGTACTTCGGGAACCGTATAATATAACATGGTCTCTGTATCATAATACGTTAAAAAAAATTTTCTTGAGCCTTTTGTCATAGCTTACAAAGGGCTGTGTAATACCGCGTGTAAAGAGTTCATAAGCAATACGAAAAGTTATTAACAAATTACTGATAATTAAATTACATGATAAAGTAACTCTTGGGTATCTAGAATAGCCTTGCGCTCGTACGATACTGTACCTGGTTATTTAGGAAAGTAACGAGAGTACCTCGAGTACTGTGCAATTTATTAATTAAGAAATTTCTTTCCGTTTTAAGGTAACGATAATAACTTATAAAACTAACAGTTTTAAGAATTATGGCTATAAAGTTCTGGTATTAAAAAAGACAAATAAAATAAAAGACATGAATAACCTTTTAGATTTTCTTTAATGGGTATAGTCCATTAGACTATAGTGTGGTGCACATAGTTATATAGTGTGGTGCTAATTCAGTCTGTTAAAAGAATTTCAATAGGCTTCTATAGTTATGACTTGCTTTACAGTGAGATAGGGGAGAGGCAGTGGTAAATCAGTATATATTATATTTTAGAGTATTAAACATTTAACATAGTCGGTATGAATTGGCAAGGCTATTAGAAACAGACGTCACGGTAGTCAACGACGCCTGGCGTCGTTCAAGTCACGTTACCCTATACGTGGATATGGAGGATGGACGAAATTAATCGAAAGTGATTCTACCGGAAACAATGGCCATCCGGGTAGACGATCATCTTAATTGTAAAGGCAGTATTCATCGGTCTCCATTAACTGACGGCCTAGACGCTCGTGACGGTTAAATGCATCGTTTAGTTGCGAATGGCCTTAAACCTTTGACTATACGAGACAGAGGATTTGTTGTGACGACTGGAATGCTTATAAGGATTTGCTTTAGTCTATTTTTAGATATATCATAAAAGAAAATTGAAAATTAGTAGTAAAAATTTGTGGTGTATATTTTTTGAAGGAATTTCATTACGTAAAAAAATTTATTTGACGTACTTTATATTTTGAGTTTCATTCGAAATACCTCCGACTCTGGTCTTTCGTTATGGCCCAGACAATCGAATCGTGATGAAACTTGGTCGAAAATTTTGAAGCGACTAAGCACCGTATTGCGAAGTTTAATAATGGCGCCATTATCAGATGGAACGAATGGTACTAAGGAGCCAGGCTCTTTTGCGATACCGTAGTTATTCAAGTAATCATCTTCATTCTATTTGCCCTGCGGAATTTAAGGAGCTAACTTCAGTCCTGTGTTCTTCACGGATGGTTTACGGCGTTCTGTGTCCATGATGTATGCGTCGTCTACATTGGAATTCGTATACGACTTAATCATCAGTGTCACGAGTAGCTCGGCTACGACGGACGCGCATTGTCAACGGAGAGGATGATCACAAAATCCCACATGCGGACTCGCCGCTACGATTTAGCGGATTTTGGTGGCGGTTAAAACCGTAGCGTCGAGCATTTCCCTGTTCATCTCTATAATCATGCCTTTTCACTACACTCGTTTTCCTATATATTCTGGCATGTAATTCACGAGGAACAAAGATTATGGATATCCATAGAAATATGGACGAGCTAGAGCCACGAAACTTTGAGGGTTTGCGTAGATCTTTGATAATGACGTGGAATAATAAATTTTAATGACGAAACTTCGGGGACGCGAACAAAGAATGTCATAGAAGGTCGACTGCGAGTTAAATGATGCCCGAAGCTAAAGGCTAGTTCACAGGGATAAATGAATGAACGTGGAGTTCCATTTGGCGCTGCGCTTACCTCGAGGAGAACTCTTTGAAGGAGGCTAATAGTCCTGAAACTGTAAACTCAAATGTTTCAAATGTTTTTCGGTACTTTGCGCCGAGAATCCCGTCGGACGAGAATTCACGGAGAAATTACACGTTCGGGTAAAACATTAAATACGGCGCACGAACACGTGGCCATGTACCGAGCTACGTTCTATTTCTCATTCCAGTGTTTACAGTCTCGCATTTTACACAGTCCCAGCCCTAATTAACTGTCTCGACTAAATGGCAGTTTTATTGCGCGCGTCGAAACTGGATGCGTAGCGCGGGATTTTTGAATGTCTTCGGGACCAGATGAAATTTGAAACAAGCTTTTAATCACGACTGACTTAAGACAGGAAGTTTTAATTTAAATAAAATTCATTCCCTCGAGCGTCCATTGGATTCCCTTACGCGTAGTAGGACGCCCTTTGAATTACGTAATTCCCGGATTTTCCCTCCGAGCCAAAATGTCACGTGACCTCTGACAATCCTAACCCTAAATTGAACCTGGATATAGAAAAATGAGGGATGTTATCGGTAACTCGAATTTTCTCACGCTCTTAAGAATAATGGAATTTTTGACACAAATTTTGAAGGAAAAAAAAAAAATGTTACTTGCTGAATAATTACTATTAAAATAAATCCTGAAAGTCCATAAGAATCTAGATCACGATCGTCCTTTGTCTTCCGAGACAGAATTTCCCCAGGCAAATCGTATAATCCATGGGATTCATGCTGCTCCCGAAATCCTGGCAATTCGTTAGGTAAACGAAAATCACAAATAGAGGGCGAATCCCGTCTCTCCAGATTTCCTCCTCGCGGAGAGCACACGTCCGTCCAAGCAGGTATATACACAAATCCACCAATAACTCTATTCGAACAACGTATAGGAATATACAATGCTCTTCAGGCAAAATAGATACACGTAGAAATTTTAACGGCCGCCATAAATCCAAGGTTAGTCTGGGGTCAGCTCCTGGCTATGATTGTCCTAGGGATTTTGAAGCTTAAGCAAAACGATCAGCCAATCCCGTTCCGGGTCTCGCGAGTGGCTGGAAGCGTTTCTATGTAGCGTCCACAGGCTGCGCGCAGTCGTAGGTCTCTCCGGCTGGAGCTGTATAACTTTTATGTTTACTCGCCGATAGGTTGCCAAGTAGTATTGCCAGGAGACTATAAGGACACGTTCAGCCGGGGGGGGATGTAGCCTAAGGGAAAACTTATTAACGTCTTACAGGGAGGAGCAGGTGTTTATATCGGACAGGTAAAATTGTCGGTGCTTACCATTGTCTTTCTCCCTCCCGCTATACCGGATGTCAAATTAATTTGAAATTCCCTTTTACCTTTGTGCCACACGGCAAATCCCTTCTCGCTACTTTACTCGAGTAAGCTCCGGGACTCCTGGGGTGAATCCTACTGGTTATAAGGAATCGTGCGCTGCTGGGCTGAATTTAACCTTATTAAAATGTCTTCTTAACTTTGCCCTTCGTGTAAGCCTCTCAATGTGCCTTTATTGCTGGTAAAGGGAAACGAATAAGTCTAATAAAGTATTCAACAAATTAATTTTCAAACTTGCCGCCGGAAGGAATGGAGAAGCTATACTTTCTTTCGGTTGGGGCTGTCCTTTTATTTCTAATCTCTCTCGTCGGGACTCTTTCGTCGGAATTCATGTGCCCCACAGCCCCCCACAGCCCCCCACAGTACCTGCCGCATGACTTTGCGAGCTCATGCTCGGGAAATTGAAGTCGAGCCATTTCGCTGCGCTAGCCGCGCTCCTGGACTTCGAAAATAAAGAAAATAAATACTTTCCTCGGGGAAAATATCGAATTCCAGATTCTTACGAATATATTACAATTCAAGCATACCTCTCCGCGCGTATTTTCAATATTCGAGATACATCCTATACGTGGTTATGGGATACATTTATTCATCGTTCCTATCCGTTGGCTAGGGCACCACGTATCCTTCCTGGATTAACGTATCTCCAGGACATTCTTAGGACATTCCCAGAACATATGCCGTGGTCCTTTCCCGAATGTTATCTTGGGTTATATTTAATGAGATCGTACGTACCTTTTTTTTTTCTTTTTTTTTTTTCTTCTTTTTCTTTTTTCGAATCGAAACAAGCGTTTACGTCACTCTGGTGGAATTACATAAATATTATCTTTTATCGATACAAATTTAGTTTCCCCATCCACTCGTACAAGCAGCCTCCAGAATGATATTCTAATCACGCACGTAAACCCATATCGTACAGATATCTCTACCCGGTGATCCATTTGAAACTAGCCAGAAGTCCAGGCTTCCGCGTTAGTTGCGTCTCGGACAATGCCATCACGTGGACGAAGTATCCGAAAGCTTTGCCCTGTGCCGTTATACGTTTCGCGTGACCATTGCCGTTTTCTCATCGATCTGCCTCCGCACACGAATAAACCAGCTTCCTATGCGACGGGGGACCTGGAGACTTTTCGGTCCAGTGAACATCCGGTCGGCGCTGCTGATAGATATCACACGCTCGAAGTCACTGCAACTCTTATCATTTGTCTGAGCGCGTTATCTGGACGAGGTATTATTTTTGAAAGTGTAAACAAATTTTTTATCTTTATCAAACCCAGTCAGTGCCTCGGGTAAGTCAATGATGTGGACCGAGAAGAAAAAAAAGTTTCTAGTAAATTTAATGTCAATTCAAAAATTGGTATTATTCATGCACGTGACTCTTAATAGCTTCGTCAATACGTAACAAGATATATGCTCACGCGTGTACTTAAAACTTGTACGCGGCTGAAAATTGAGAACTGCCAGAACGTATATGGGCGAGTTTACACAGTGGGATATGCTTCGACAGGGTAAACGCACTTGAAGGGTGTCGCGGTAAGGAAAACATTTCTTTGGGGCCCGAGGATGGCTGCCAAAGGGGGTAAAGGCGGTATATCAAAGGACCACAATGCCTATGGTCGACATACTTGAGCCCCTAGTGACATAGCGAACGTCAACTAGGGAAGGTCTGTCAGGTTGGTGTATCCGTCACAAAATGGCATTCGACAAATAA